GTCGTTGGAGAAATCGTACAGCAGCAAAGGCTGCCATTCACCACTGTAACACTGCCCGACTGGCTTCATGATCAACCATCAAGGAGGTGAGACCGGAGGAGGTCATCGCGGACAACAGGGTCAAAAGGATGAGGAACGGTAGAGGTCACGTGATCATCACCGAAACGCCGGAGATGCGACCTTTTGGACTGCGGAGTCCAGCGACGAGCTGCCGAAAATAGCAGAACTGTCACGAGCATGACTAGAGACCATGAGTGTTCTACGGAATTTGTAGTATGTTAAGCTCGTATTTCTTCCGCAGCTTAGTAGATTCACTTTTACGAATGTTTCGCTGTTGTTTATATTCCCGTAAGTGTTTTTCGGAGCCAGTTAGCCTGTAACGCCTCCAAAAGCGATTTTTTTCGAAAGCGGTCTATAAGTTCGCGTTTATCCATTTTGGGCGGCTTGTGTTTGTGTTTCTTCTGAGAGGACAGTTAAGGTAAAGCATTATTTTCAGTTTCGAGCTAAAGATCCTCCACTGGTCATTTGCTCCGCCGTGGAGTTCTGCTTCCCAGGATAACTCTGTTATTTCTCTTCTCATCACTGCATAGTCTCCCTTCTTTCCCACGTATAGGGCAAATAAGGTTTGGAAAAGAGTGAGTACTCGAAGTACAGCATAATGTGGCCGCTTGACCCTAATGGGGGTCGGTCCTGTGGGTCCACCACATTTTCCTCCTCTCGGGTAAAAATATGATCAAGATAGTTTGACTTTTGTCCTTCCGTAACCCGTGTTCCAAACGTGACGGTCTGGCAGAAAATTTTGTCTGTGGCCCATTGTAGTAGTTTATGACTGAAGTTATCTGAGGCCTCCGTACATTCCAGGTTTACCAATCAGCACCAGGAGAGTTAAAATCCCCAACGACAAGGATTTCTTTATTCTCGCTTGTCTTGTACTGTTCCGCTATGAGGATAGTTTCTTGGTTAGATGTCTGATTTGGTGAACGATACACCACCGAAATCCTCAATGGTCTGGCATACTTAGCAGATATAGTAATGTTCAAAATTTGCGATTCTCGTGCTGGGATAGGTTCTTCAGCCATAGCTGTCAGCTTGCCAGTTACGTACACTATTACTCCTCCTTCCCTAGTTGGTCTGTCCCTCCTGAAAAGCTGGTAACCTCTAAGTAATACTTCGGAGTCGGCAATATCTGTCGAAAACCAGGTTTGATTGAAAGCCGCCATGTCCGGTTTCTCCTCATCAACCAGGTTTTTAAGTTCGTCGAGCTTGTTAAACAACCTTTTTACGTTGGCAGATAGGATCTTCAGTGATCGTTTCATCGGTGAGGCCCAGGCCTCATCGTGACAGGTTTCGTCCATAGGAAAGACCTCTTGACTTGGATTATTTGTCCGTCTTTGATTTTCAGTCCCTTTCCCCGCTGCCAATTCCTTCTTAGTTCTAGCCTTAGTTCCCTCATTTTCAGCCGCTCCCTCGGCTCATAGTCTGGCTGAAAAAATACTTGCTTGTGTGAACTCCGTAAGGTCGTTTTTCCTGCCATAATATTTTATGCATGGGCTTCGTTATCTAAAATAACTTTAAGAGGTCTTGGGTTCCTTTATAGGTCGCGACCTAGGTCTACTTTGCCCAGTCGGAAAGCTTTATTGACAGTGAAAATCGCCCCATCCTGCAGGACCACACTGGTGTATTCGTGAATACGATCAAGTCAGTTAAAGTCAGTTTATTTAGGGAAGAAGGCTTTCGCCCTTGAGCTCCCTATTCATAACCAAAAATCGCAA